GGCCCGCCTGGGCAGCGAGACCTCATCTCTACAATAAATCAAAAAATCAGCCGGGCGTGGTAGCGCATGCCTGTAATTCCGGCTACTCGGAAGGCTGAGGCGGAAGGATCGCCGGAGCCTAGCAGGCGAGGCTGCGGTGGTCGGGAGCGGTCACTGCACTCCAGTCTGGGCGACTGAGTGAGACTCCAACTCAAAAAAAAAAAAAACCCAAAAAAAACCCAGGTCAATGAGCTACACACATTATCAGTTTGAATTCTGATGAATGAACCTCCCCATGCCTGACCTGTGTTGGTTTAACAAATTCCTTGTCCCCAAATGTCTATAAATTGGTAGATATTGCCATCACATCTAGCTGTTATGTTAGCAGCCAATGACGGGATATTGTCTAGACTTATTAATTCATTAAGGATGGTAAAATGGTAATATTCAATTTTGTCACTTTCTTCATTCATTAGATGAATTATTTCCATATTGAGCATCTGCCTTATACCAAGCTGTACTCGTAATATAATTTATACTGAAAAGACAGGATAAACAAGACCAAAGAGCCTTAGTAATATATCTGCTATAAACTTATAAATTAAAAATTTTTTAAACGTATAAATTTTACCATGTGCTGTGCTTCAACATGTTGTGATTATTGTATGCTTATTGATTTTACACCAGTGCCTCCTTTCTTTGTTTTTAATGACTCTAATAGACTATTTATTTTATCCAACAATTAGATTGCCTTTTGTGAATTGCTTTTCTCCATTTTTCATGATGCCACAGGGTTAAGAGGATAGGTAACAAGGACGAACAGGAGAAATTTCCCCAAATATCAATAACCAATGTTATGACAACTGTGTGCTTTAATATGATGACACCTCAAGTTAGCTTTTGAGACAGCATTATTTAGAGAATTGAGTCATCTAAATAATTTGGTTCCCCTTTCACAAGCCCCCTAGCCCTTCTAAATGCTAAAATAGGTTGTTAATTTGTTAAAAATCTAATTGATGCTGATTGTAATTAGCATATAAGATTTAGGTCAAACTTATAATTGATAATTTTTAAAAATTTTATCTCATTTTTATTTTATTTTTTTTGAGTAGGAGTCTCACTCTGTCATCCAGGCTGGAGTGCAGTGGCATGCTCTCGGCCACTGCAGCCTCGACCTACCTACAGGTGATCCTTCTGCCTCAGCCATCCAAGCAGCTGGAACTGCAGGTGTACACCTACATTCAGCTGATTTTTTGATTTATTGTAGAGATGAAGTCTTGCCAAGTTGCCCATGCTAGTCTTGAACTCCTGGGCTCAGGCAATCCTCTTGCCTTCGCCTCCCAAAGTGCTAGGATTACAGCTGTGAGCCACTACGTCTGGCCTAAATTTTATTTTATTTTTTAAAGAGAACAGGGTCTTGTTCTGTTGCCTAGGCTGGAGTACAATGGTGTAATCTTGACTCACTGCAACCTCCAACTCAAGCTCAAGCAATCCTCCCACTTCCCTCCCAAGTAGCTGGGGACTTCAGGTACACCATTATGCTTGGCTAATTTTTTATTTTTTGTAGAGACAATGTCTTGCTATGTTGCCCAGGCTGGTCTTGAACTCCTGGGCACAAGCAATACTCTCACCTCAGCCTCCCCAGATACTGGGATTACAGATGTGAGCCACCACACTCGGCCGATAATTATCTTTTACATGTCTTGTATATACTATAGCAGCAGTCACCAACCTTTTTGGCATCAGACTGATTTTGTCACCCGGCATTAGATTCTCATAAGGAGTGTGCAGCCTAGATCGCTTGTATACACAGTTCACAATAGGGTTCATGCTCCCATGAAAATTTTTATTTTTTTGAGTTGGAGTCTCACTTTTGTGTCAACCAGATTGGAGTGTAGCTCATGGCCATCGCAGCCTCGACTTGCTGGGCTTAGGCGATCCTTCTGCCTCAGACTTCCAGGTAGCTGGAACTACAGACACACGCCACCACGCCCAGCTAGCTTTTTTTGTGATTTATTGTAGAGACGAGGTCTCACCAAGTTGCCCAGGCTGGTCTCGAACCCCCGGGCTCAGGCAATCCTCTCATCTCGGCCTCCCAAAGTGCAGGGATTACAGGCTGAGCCACTGCGCCTGGCCTTCTATGAGAATTTAATGCCACAGTTCTTCTCTTCTGACAGAAGACAAGAGTTCCATTTGCCTGCCACTCACTTCCTGCTGTGCAGTCTGGTTCCTAACAGGCTGCAGACTGGCCTGTTTGAGGACCCCTGTACTACAGGACACAAAGGTTAAAGACTACAAATTGAAGACAATAAAATATGTCCATTAAGCCCCCACTGGGTAAAGACTATATAGGCACACCTCATGTTATTGTGCTTCACTTTATTGTGAGCACTAAATACTGCCCCCCCCCCACAAAAGAAAATTAAAGCTTTGGGCAATCTCTTGTTGAGCAAGTCTATTGGGGCAATTTTCCCAACAGTATTTGTGCACTTTAGGTCTCTGTGTCACATTTTGGTATTTTCACAGTATTTCACAACTTTTTTCATTATTACTTTATCTGTAATGGCGATCTGTGATCCTTGATGTTATACTATTGTAACTGTTTTGGGACACCACAAACCTCATCCATATGCAACAGCAAACTTGATAAATGTTTTATGTGTTCTAACTGTTCCACAGACCAGCTGTCCCTGTCTTTCTCCCTTCTGAGGCCTCCCAGTTCCCAGACACAACAATTAATATCCCTACAATAGCCTCCAAGTATTCAAGTAAGAGCAAGAGTCCAACTACATCTCACACTATATCAAAAGCTAGAAATGATTACGCTTAGTGAGGAAGGCATATCAAAAACTGAGACAAGCTGAAAACTAGGCCTCTTGCACCAAACAGCTAAACTGTGAATGTAAAGGAATGAAGGAAAATAAAAGTGCCAGGCCCACCACATTAATGTTAAGAAAGTAAAACAGTCTTATTGCTGATATGTAGAAAGTTTGGGAGGTCTGGATAGAAGATCGGACCAGTTACAATATTCCCTTAAGACAAAGCCCTAACTCTCTTCAATCCTATGAAGGCTGAGAGAGATGAGGAAGCTGCAGAAAGAAAGTTGGAAGCTAGCAGAGGTTGGTTTGTGAGGTTTACGGAAAGAAGTCATCTCCATAACATCAACGCAAAAGATGAAGCAGCAAATGCTGATGGAGGAGCTGCAGCAAGTCATCCAGAAGATCTAGCTAAGACCATTAATGATGGTGGCTATACTAAACAACAGATTTTCAATGCAGACAAAACAGCTTTCTAATGGAAGAAGACGTCCACCACTAGAGAAGAAAAGTCAATGCCTGTCTTCAAAGTTTCAAAGGACAGGCTGACTCACTCTCACCATGGGCTAATGCAGCTGATGACTTTAAGTTGAAACCAAAGCCCATTTGCCATTCTAAATTCCTAGGGCCCTTAAGAATTATGCTAAATCAGACCAGGTGCGGTGGCTCCCGCCTATAATCCCAGCACTTTGGGAGACCGAGGTGAGAGGATTGCCTGAGCCCAGGGGTTCGAGACCAACCTGGACAACTTGGCAATACCCCATTTCTATAATAAACCAAAAAAAAATTGGCCAGGCATGGTGGCATGTGTCTGTAGTTCTGATGGCACGTGTCTGTGGTTCTGGCTACTTGGAAGGCTAGGGCAGAAGAATCGCCTGAGCCCAGTAGGTCGAGGCTGCAGTGGCTGTGAGCATATCACCTCATTCCGGTCTGGGCTACAGAGTGAGACTCAAACTCAAAAAAAAGAGAATTATGCTAAATCTACTCTGTCTATGCTCTGAAAATGGAACAACAAAGCCTAGAGGATAGCATATCTGTTTACAACAGGGTCTACTGCCTATCTTAAGCCTGCTGCTGAGACCTACTGCCTCAGAAAAAAGATTCCTTTCAAAATATTATTGCTCATTGATAATGTACCTCGTCATCCAAGAACTCTGATGGAGATGTACAAGGAGGCAATGGTTGTTTTTATGCCTA